CTTTTATTTTTCAACTTAAAATTTAGTAAAAGATTGCTATATATCAGATTATAATTTTCAGAGTGGTCCAAAATGGCTTATGAGAGGCTTAGGGAAAAGTACTAAAATTTCCTCTTGCACTTTTGTCAGGTCGCTAGTGTTAAAATCTTCAAAAATCATTGTTACACTAATAAGGCACTTGCTTATAGGTGTAATAATGATTTTTGAAGGTTTTAACACTAACATATCATATATTTTAGCAGTTCGGTTAATATAAGAATGCTGGCTTACAATGTTTCACTTTTTTTGTTGAAAATTACCGGAATAGAACAACTGCAGTTCGCAAATCTACTCCGAGAGGACGATACAAATAGGAGCTACATCTGTTTTCAAGAAGCATGCGCCGCAGATGTTTACTTTTTTAAAGAAGACAACTGTTGAACGTCTATTTTCACTTATTGTTCCATTGATTTGGAAATTTAAAAGTGTTTACAAATGAATAATTAACAACTTTTAACATTCATTTTTAGCAATAACTGCTTTCCATCTCCCTGATCCTTTGCACTGTCGCACACGATGTTTTAGATCCAGTGCTATTATGGCAGTGAAACACGTGGGCCTTGAACTTACAGGTGTTTGAATATCGGTGCCGCGCAGTTTGTATTTTATGGAGAGGAAGTAATTCCCGCAAACTGACTAATTCCACAGTCATTTTTCCACACCCATTCGCATAACCCTTAAAATATTTATCCTTTCCTTGGCATACACCAACAGATCAGTGAGTGAGCGTGGGACTGGCAGGATGGCGGAGGTGAGCAGACGCATTGAGCACGTAAAGCTGCCACCACTCAGAACCACTCAGTGCTGATAAGCCTTTTCAGTGATTGGCTTTTCCAGCACAAGTGTCATTTGCAGCAAACTTTTCTGAACCACTTCAAAAATCCATTTCCCAGCTCGGTTTTATTTAACCATCTCTCTGAGTGACGAATCGACATCCCCGGTCGATCGTACACACCAAGATGCCACTACCATGCGTGCAAATTGCATATGCTGTATGAAAAGTTGTCTTCCTGACGGCAGGTCCATGCATCCTTCTGATGTTGGGACTAACGATAAGATCAACTTTGTACTAGCAGAAAACGTGGTTTTTGTTTTTCCTTACTTTCTCAGCTCTACGTAAGCTCGTTTGTACTGCATCCAGTGGCAGATTAAAACGGATGAGCCGTTAAAGAAAAAATATATAATATATACATTTCAAATTTTTCGCGATAGTTGTGAGAAAAAAAACTATTCTGCTTCCAAACATAACTTGAGAGCGTTTCTGCATAATTTGTGGATTAACGCCCAGCCGATAAGATACCTGGTCCTCGCCTAGGAATGGCGTCTTCAAAATGTGGTTATGATGCTTGTCACAGAACGGAAGCAGCCATGGATTTGAAACCTAACTTGCAGTCGCTCCCAAAGACTAAAGGTGGATAAAAACGAAATTCGAAAAAGCCTACTACGTACTGCTGGCAACAGTTTCTAGTGACAAAGCATGATTTTCTGGTAAGCACTGGCATTTTGTCCTGTATCATGGGATTCGCACAACTACAATACTCCAGCTTCCAAAACATCAAAAAAAAAAAAAAATCTCAAAAAACAGCGGCCGAAAAAATCAATCAAAGAAGGAAGGCCCTAGCTCTTACCAAGGCAGCTAAAATGCAAGCACTTCTTTGGCACAATGCGTTTTTCATGCGGCGCAAGAAGGCATAAAAATTCAAGGCGTCAGTCCACAAGAAATATTTGTTCTTCCAGAATTTCGTTTAAGATCAGCACGGCATGAAAATGGCTTGCATGTGAGTTACTGATTTCCCCTTCATCGGAAATTACATTTTTTTCGGCTCGGGATTAATAACGGCGTAGCTGATTGACTTTGCTCAGAAGAATGTCCGGAAACTTAATGAATCCAAAAAATAATCATGATGCTTTCTTACACTTCATGTCCATTCCGGTTTCGGATGCTACAAGTTTGTGTGCCTTAAATTTTGCAAGTCGTGATATTCCAGACTTCTTGAATATGATTTTCGTTTCTTTTTTTTTTAATTTTAATTTGCTTACTGATGTCAGCGAATGTTTTAAAAAAAATGAAAATTGCAACTGTCTGTTTTTTTCTTGCAGATGCAGAGAATCGTCATGCTGTTTTGGAAAAAAGTTTCAGAATGAATGAAACTGCATTCACTTCCCGCCTGAATGCCATTTATTATTATGAGTTTTTACTTACTGTGCAAACGCAAAAACGCATTTGGGCAAGAGGCTGTGTGTGTATGTGTCTGCACTTTTCGTCACCCGCTTTCAACTCGAGGACCAGAAAAGCTAGGAGTCCGAAGCTTCGGAATTATATGACCACCCCATTTGCGGCCCTCCCGCTTAAACATTACCATTTGCATATGCCTAAGTCCTACTTGCCGACCCGTTAAAAAAATATGCAAAGTTTTTGACAGGAAAGGATTTCGGGAAGTAGATAAAATGGATAGTTGCAACTCCGCAAGGATATTTTCCGTGCATATGTGAGCTAAAGATTTCAAATTCAACTATCGCGCACGCTTGCGCCACGCATGCAGTTTTCGCAATTGGCACTGACAAACTCATAAACTAGATGAAAAGCATAGCGGAAATTTTGTCAAAATATTTATCCTCATCTGACAAATCTTACCCAAATGGCGTTTCTGTTGCGCTTGGGCCACGCCTTAAGATGCTTCAAAGACACTTGTGACGAAGAGGTTATTTCACTAATCGGACGAGCTGCGAATCTGAAACTTTGAAGGAATATTCTATACTCATATATGGTCTTAATACTGCTCAAGAAATTCCCTGCATGCAAAAATGCCAAACAATGCTTTTTGCGAATTTCGTAATCCTTATCTGCTTGCATTCTAAGCATTACCAAATTTGCATTTTTCGATGAAAGGGTGCTCACCGGAAGAACGACCGGGTTGCATGCAAAACTGCAAGTCATGCACGCTGGTGGTCCTCATGGCCCCACAATGCAACGCTATCATCCCAGCCGACGCTCTTTTCCCCCGTATGGAAGAAATAGCTGAAACACGACCAAAATGAATCTAATTGTTAAACCAAAATGCAGGAACCATACTTCCTGTTATCGATCTGACTGCTGTAAGTTTAGCGCAAAAACATATGATCGCGCCTGCGAGCCTGGTGTATTCCAGTCTGGGTTTAATTTTTACGCAAGACAAAACTGCCTATAGTCAAAAACATATGACTTGAAAAGTACAATAATAAGTAGGTGAAACCTGCGAAAGTCCCTCTTTCAAGACTAGTTCCACTAAGAGGCTTGAGTAGTCGTTTTTATTCTACAACGCCGTCATCAACCAGGTCAAGTGACAGGCTTAAAACTACGACTTTCTTAAAGAAATCCTTTTCGCGGATCTTAGCATCATTGTTTGTTGCAAAGTTTTGTAAGGCAGCTTAAATCGGGATGCATATCAGAACACTTGAATAAATGAGCTATATACTCCTAACAGTTAGAGCTATTAGTTTTTACAGGGCCGAGCAAGCGAGCAGAGTAATTTGAAACTAACAAAATAACAAGCTTCACCTTTTCAGCTGTACTGAATTATTTATTTCAACATTTGATGCTGCGGTTGCCCCTTTCTTTACATGTGAAAGCCCCGTTTTGATAATACCCGAATAAGATAATGCTTTCGTAGTACTCTTTTTCTTTTGCATACTATGAGTATGCCTGTAGACTTTGAAACCATTGAAAGAAAGGGTTAATTATGCTCAACTTAATCTAAGTTAAATCCAGATTCGTTTTGTCCGGCTTTAATTTATATAGATGTACTTTGATCAGCTGTTGCTTCATGTCACGCTTCAAGACGCTGATGCTTCTAGCGCCTTCCCCATTCCTTACCGCTGTCCTCAATTAGACACATTAATTCAGTTTTATTCACACGGATCTTTTCATCATATTAACATCCTTTCCTGCGTCTGTTTAACTTTTCATCTGCCTGTCCATCTGTTGTCTCTCATCAGTGCTACACGAACAGCACGAATAGTTATGAATTTACTACTACAAAGTCATATATTTATACGACTCCAAAATTATCTCGACAAGTTATATTTTAGAATAATTGTGAGTTAATTCAAATTGTACTAGGTTATTGAGCATATAATTTATTAACCGGACCTGTATGATTTTTCGAGGGACTGCAGGAAGCCATTTCACAGAAGGTGTAGTTAATTCCTTGAGAAATAAACGCACTAGCTTAGTCTGGAGATGCCCCCTTTTTCTGGAAGCCTACTCCCAGTTTCGCTTCTTATATGACAAAGCAATTGTTTCTTAGCAAACTAATGTTCTGGGATACATTAACAAATAAAGTGAAAGGAGAGTGAAGGAGGGGCAGTCAAAAAGGATCAGACAGAAAGCACAATAAATGGCTTCTTTCTCCTACAAATACAGCCGGCGAAAGCTGCTTAAGATTTTCCGGAAGCTGAAGAATAATTTTAGCAGGCTTTGACAAGCTAAGCGTACTTCGCAAATTTCTGAATGAGTGTAACTGAAAACCTTTTTTTGTGCAGTAAATAATATTTTAATAATAGCGATAAAAGAAACTCTTAAACTTGTGGCTAATATATTATATAATAATGAAAAAATTGGCGAATACAACAAAATTTATCGCGCATTTCTGCAAAGCTCCAAATCCATGCCTCTTTCTTTCAGCGAAATTGGCATTGGTCAATTTCACATTGCTCAAATGTACTGCTTTTCCCATCACCAAAGTGAACATTTTCGTACAGATCCCCGTGATTGTGTGGACTTGTATTTCACTGGTTACAGAAGCAAGCTAACGAAGATGCTGTGTCCTCTCAAATACATGATGGGAGGCATTTTTTCTTTACAAAATCAATTAGCGATCAAATTTTCAACATACATTGCGCACTGAGGTGTTTGTGCTTAATGCTTTTCAGGAGTTGCTGAAGTATACTGGAAAGAAAGCCAGTTGGCTGCTAGTGTTAGAATGGCATTACTCCGTGACTTTATTGCTAAGTATCGACAGAACCGAAAAATGCTATTATTTATCGTTTACATTGCCTTGTTTCTTGATAATATGCTTCTGACCACAGTCGGTAGGTAGCTTTGGTAATTCTACCAAATTAAAAAAAAAAAGACTTAGAATTTTAGTTACTTGCAGAAGCTGGGATGCTCATTTCTGAAATGACTAATAGCTCTCCAGCTGACGGCTGAGTTGCTAGTTTTGATTTCTGAGGGCTTCTTCTTTCATTAATAAGCTGAGTTCTTGATTCACAAAAACATATTTCTAGTTTGGACCGATAACAAGCTTCATGAAATTATACTGCAATTTTAAAATTAAAATTTCTACGTTCTTTACAGTACCGATAATACCGGAATATCTCTTGCGCTTATCCCATCCAAATTCAACCGATTTACTCCTGTACAATAAAGCACCAGTAATTGGACATCCACGTGGCAAGCGCTCTACTGCTCCTTTTTCTCGCAGTGAAGGAGAAGAGACGATCGAACAAGAGCCACTGGTCTGGGACGACGCTTGGGAAATTCCGATGGATATGAATGTGGCAGAGAAATGGCAGAAGAGTCCCTTAAATCCGTTCCGAAAAAGCATTTCGTCGAAGAAGAAGCCATTTAGAAAAGGTTACAAAAATTGCTGAAAGTGCTATGCTGCACTCATAAGTAATTTGTGTTAAAAAAAAAAAACTCAGACCAGAATGCACTAGGCATGCCGGTGCGTTCATAGGTTTTTCCGCCAGAACTGCAGCGGTCACATTATTGAGACTAGTTTCTTACAGTTTAACGCATGAACTTGTTGGCTGTTTTTTAGCGTTTTCTTGCATACGGGTTGGGATGGTAGTGCTGGATACGAGGCAGCATGTACCTACAGTGCGCATGATAATCAATTTTTTTTATGAAACCGATTCGTTTTTCCGGCGAACAGTCGTTCATCGGAAAAATTCACATTTAGTAATGCACAAATACCAGAACAGAAGAATTACGAAATCAGCCACTGGCAGATCCAGGGGAGGGGAGACAGGTAACAGTGCTAAAAGTGAAAACTTTCTTCGACACTACTTGTTGTCCCTTCCTCCTCCCCCCTCCCCGTCTCCCCTCAGAAGCCTCACGTTCTTTTCCTTCCCCCTCACTCCCGCGCCCCAGTCACTATCGCTAGGATCGATGAGCGGCGGAGAAGGAGAGAATGCGGCTTCCGGCGTAGTGACGAACGGAGGGGGAGGAGAGGAGAAAAATCATTCCCCCCGCCGCCCCCTTCCTCTCACTTCCCCAGGAAATCGCCCTGGATCTACCTAAGTGATCAGCAGAATGCCCCTGCTTTTGAGTGCGGTGAAATTGAGTATTTGCAATAGGGAATTACATCTTCAACCTGAATTAATATCACACATGAATATAAAATATCCTTGCAAAGTTTCAGCTCCGCAGCTTGACCGATAAACGAAATAGCCACTTTGCGGCAAACTTTAAAGTGTCCTAAGCCGTGATGTAAGTGCAGTTAGGAAACCAGTTTAGGTAAATGACTTTCTATACGGACGACATATATTCTAACAAAATTTCATGCGCTGTCTTCCGGCTAGTTTTCGAGTTGGCACTGTGTCAACTGTAACCGTAGGTGCAGTACAAAAGTGTGTAATAACTGAACTTGAAGTATTTAGCTTATACATGCACAGAGAATATACCTGCAAATTTTCAGCCTCTATATTGTTGAAAACCTTTCCCGCCAAGGAAATTTATTTTTTTGGGACCTGTACTCGAGATCTAGGTGCGTATGAGTGATGGTTTTTAAACAGGAGGGTGACACATGGGGTGGGAACATGCCCTCAAAATTCTAGCCTCCCCCCCCCCC